ATGTTGCTGCCACTGGAGGTTGGACATCCCTCACCTTCCTGCTCTACTGGCACCGCATGGATGAAATTCTCCCTATGTCGACCTCAAAAGCTTATAACCAAGCACATCTTCTTTGTCTCACTGAAATTTTTGAAAAATTCTGCATAGCTCACAAGATCCCTTCTGCCCTACTTGATAAATGTACATCTCCCTAGATTTGTAACACCTCTCCCACTCCCACCTCTTGTATAGTACCTCCACTTCCCCAATCATCTGCTACACCCTCACACCACTGCCAATCCTACCTCTTGTATACTATCCTTACTTCCCCACTCTTCTGTAACACCCTCCCAATGCTACCACCTTATGTATAAAATACATCTTTATATTTGAATCATGAATTTTACAATCTCTTTCCATATCACAGCTGGACCCCAAGTGACACTCAACTGGGCAGTCAGTTTGGCTCTTCCTTGCCTCACCAACCTGTTGTTGTGAGCTTACACTCGGGTTGGTACTGCCAGTTGGTTTCGGCAAGTTCTCACCACACTCAGTGAGTTCACTGGATGCTCAAATCTTGTTTGCACATTCTTGTGTCCAAGCGAGATTTTTGCACAACCAAGGAATTTGTCCACATGAATTCCTTGTACATTTATTCACCCCTGTTCACACAGCGCTACAGTTATCTTATTTGGCAGGCCCGAAAACTTTATTCGGTAACGTAGCTGACTCAGGAGTCCTTTCCCCTCCTACTTATCATACAGGTTTATTGCAACAAATCGACAGAACGGTACATTCAACATCAGGTCATTCTTCACTCATCAGCATCAAAGGGAGTGATGATCCAGAGCTGACTTGGGGGATAGAACGGTGGATTGCTCGGACCTATGATGAGCGGGCGAAAGGCAACCTTTTTTTTTTTTTTTCACGTGGTGTAAGTGTTCACAAGATGTGGAAAAAGGCCTGCAACCGCTCACTGGGTATAGGGTTCACCTGTGGGTAAAACCCAACCTCCATGCTTGTTCGGAGACTCGATGCTAAGAAAATAAAATAAAATGACCCAGGATTAAAAACTGAAGGACTCTCACAGGAAATCATTACGTCCGGATTGTGGAACAGCAGTGATTCGCCACTTCACATCAATGTTAGACTCTTTGAGCAGTGAAACAAAAACGAGGTGATCTTTGGCGAACGCAGGTGCTCCCTTTGCCTTGAGGACATAAAATTCACCGTCTTTTTCGATTGTCCACTGCGGTAAACAAAGAACAGTTAGAATATGAAAAGTGCAGGAGATTGGAGACTCACCAGGTGTGCTTGCACTCCGGGTGGAATGGATATGACACTCTTGGGATTAAGACTTTTGTCTTCATGGAGTGCACGCTGGATATAAGTATCAGATGCTTTATTGCGAATGAGATACTGCTTTCCGCTGGTCAAGATTTCGAGGATGCTCTAGGATACGTGAAGACTATCTGGGTGGTGGGCTTATATAGTCGCCCCATGGATCTAAGTTACATTAGGGGTACACTAACTCACAATAAAGAATGTCACATGATTTTCTTTTACAAAGTTGGTGCTATAACACAAGAACCAAACATTTTGAGAACTATGCTCTGGTGTATGAAACATAGCTAAAGAGGTGTAGATTGTATATACCAATTCTAGGAATGAACAATTGAAAACTCAGGATAAGGCAGGGAATAGACTGTGACAAGTGCCAAAAATGGGATGCAACAAAGTGGGAAATTCTGAATGACTGCAACCTACTGAAAGCAATTCACAACTTGAGGAGCAGATATTTTGAACACTGGATCTCCCTGCTATTGTTATGAGCTTTATAAAGTCTCTGGCCTAGAAAATTCTATATCCTCCTCTAAAAGGTAAATTTAAACTTGTTCAGCACTTTATGTATTTTTCACTCAATATATTTGTTGGAATGAGGCAAAATGACTCTCCATTAATGTTTGTAGTGTGTATAATATAAAAGGTAGGTAGAAATGTTTAAATAAACATTGCATGATGTCTGTAGAAGCTAGTTTTTCTGGAACTAAACAAGTATCTACAACATTGGTCCTTCTTTTCTGCAAGAAGAAAAAATGCTACCATCCTTTTGAGTTAAGTCATGGAGACTCAGGATGTCCATTAAACAACACCTGAAGTATGATATGATAGCAAATAAATTTACACTGGGTATAACTTGAAAAGTCCCCAATAAAAGTACATTTTGCATAGAGCAATCATCCTGGACCAATCCTTGACATTTTTTCTTGGTGAATTGGGGCTGAAAATATTTAACAAGGCACTTCTCATACCTAGGAACACTATCCCAAAGAAATAAACAGAGGTCCTATTTGTACAAGGATCTGAGACCCCACACCTTTCTTCCTGTATGCAAAACATACTTATATTGAGGACTTTTCTTCAAGTTATACCCAATGTAAATTTATTTGCTATCATGCTGTACTTCAGGCATTGTTTAAAAGACATCCTGAGTCTCCATGACTTAACTCAAAAGGATGGTAGCATTTTTTCTTCTTGCAGAAAAGAAGGACCAATGTTGTAGATACTTGTTTAGTTCCAGAAAAACTTTGGGAATTAGCTTCTACAGACATCATGCAATGTTTATTTAAACATTTCTACCTACCTTTTATATTATACACACTACAAACATTAATGGGGAGTCATTTTGCCTCATTCCAACAAATATATTGAGTGAAAAATACATAAAGTGCTGAACAAGTTTAAATTTACCTTTTAGAGGAGGATATAGAATTTTCTAGGCCAGAGACTTTATAAAGCTCATAACAATAGCAGGGAGATCCAGTGTTCAAAATATCTGCTCCTCAAGTTGTGAATTGCTTTCAGTAGGTTGCAGTCATTCAGAATTTCCCACTTTGTTGCATCCCATTTTTGGCACTTGTCACAGTCTATTCCCTGCCTTATCCTGAGTTTTCAATTGTTCATTCCTAGAATTGGTATATACAATCTACACCTCTTTAGCTATGTTTCATACACCAGAGCATAGTTCTCAAAATGCTTGGTTCTTGTGTTATAGCACCAACTTTGTAAAAAGAATCATGTGACATTCTTTATTGTGAGTTAGTGTACACACCTCATGTGAATATATCAGGTTATTCGTGCCAGCTGTCTGCCAACTGTCTGTAAGCTCCTCACAAAACCTGAAAGGTATGGAATCGATTGCCAAATACGTCAGCGGCTGAACATATTTGTCTGTGGGGCTTGAGGAATCAGAAAGCTCTGAAATCGGGGGAGGTCATTAGTAGCGATAACGAATCACTTGACACTGTTGTTATGAACAATGGAAGTTGACTGTGCTGCCTTTCGAGTTTAAAGGACAGGTAGAAGCGTCTGCAAACACAGTGCGAAACTTTCCAAGGGGCTGGCAGAGCAGCCGAATACGGGATGGGTGGTCCGTCAGAGGCCTTGAAAAATATTTTTGTGGCCTCTGCTTGCAAGAATCATTTAAAAAGCAGCAATGTTACCAGAACACCCTTGAACTTGATGTGGCGGGTTACACGCATATTCTGTTATGACAGGCATTAAATTTAAATAAAATCCCAACGTCAGATCAATACTTATCTAGTTGAAGGAACACAGGCTTATGCCAAGGGTACATGAATAACCTTGATAAGCAGTGACACGCTGCACACGGTTCTTCACATGAGGCAACATGCGCATCTCATTTCAGAAACTTCTTAAGTTCTCCGAGCTTTCGCCACTTACTCACGTCTCCACCAAAAGCCTCCCTCCACGTAAATTCCTCACAACTTTGATAATATATAGATTGGGCATGCCAAGCGGTAGCCGTTGAACAGTCTGCGACGGTGATGAGGCTGTCACTATTAGGGTTGATGGAAGGGGAAAGCAAAGGTCACGGTGGAGTAGTGCATCCTGGCAGATGCATACTCCATCCCCCTGTCGTTTGGGGTCTCACTTAGGTGTCAGAGGGTTTACATACACATTTAGATGTCACATTGTGTTTGTAGGTTCTTCAGTCAATACCATCATCTCGTTCGTGTCTACGCACTCTGTGTCACTTGGCACCTCTCCAACAGTACGCATTGTCGACCTCTTGGAGTAATTTGATCCATGCTCTATTCATAAATAAAATGAGCTGAGGCATGATATGAGTTGTCAGGGCTTTGCACCTGGAAAATATGAGGGCAATGTTGAAGCAACTAGCGTAATTTTTTTATAAAAAAAGGGGAGAACGTACCGTGGACGTGGACCTGAACATACTATGCAAGAGCTCGGAAGAGGATAGTATCTCTCTCATGCAAATGTTGCCTCGTTCATCTTCATCATTTACCAGATATGCGATGAAGCGATGAACACGAGTTGGATCCAATATGGGATATTCGGATTGTTTGAGTGATTGCCCTATGAGAATCAAGCCAGCGTCATCACAGGCGAGCGTGCGCAAGCGAATGGGAGTCATAACAGGGAGTGTAGAGCCCTTTGTTGATAACTCGACACTCCACAGTGAGAGCTCTTTGATGCCCCCACCACACCAAGAGAAAGTGGACAGAGGGAAGTTGGTGAACGATGCAAAATGAAGCTGGGTCAGCTTGGGCGAGCTAATAATGCGATGGATGCAGGATATGAAATTGGGGCAGAGGTCATCCCAATATAATGAATCAAGATCTCCTGGACGCGAGACAATGTGACTAAGGGAGAATGCGATGAGGTTGGAGAGCATGTTTAGGGAATGGATGATTCTGGGGCAATCGGAATCCTCTATGTAAATGTATACGTCCAAATCTTGCACATAGAATGCGATATCGGGCGTCTTCTCGAGGTCTTGAACTATGAGAACGAATGCACTGAGTGTGTGTGTGCGTTGTTGTGTTCGGCGGAGCATGCGTGATGATGTTGAGGGTGGGTTGGGCACTAATCAATTTGAGTAAGTTGTCTCTGCCGTTTCACGACAAGATAAGTTCACTTACACGCCATCTAGAATTTACCCGGTGTTTTAGAACTTTTTTGTCGAAACACTTGCGTTATCAGCAAGTCAGATGATCTAACATCAATGACTTCTCTGAGACGACGAGAGGGGACGCATTTGAAGGCATTGCGCAGGTTGAGAGGCCGATGAAGTGACGACGACGGGGAGTGCCTCCGATGTCGAGCAAGTCCACCATCATGTCTCAAGACTGGGAATGGAATCTGAGCTCTGCCATAGGCTCCGTGTCTACCCCCCTCATAACCCATTCTCGTAAATTCGACAGCGACTAATGGGTGTGTAGAGTTGAGCAAGACTCCACTTACTCTGTGTCTCGGAACTCGGGTATACCACCCTCAATCTCATCTCCTCATTCTAGTTGGCAGTAGAGGGTGACGAGCTTTGCAACGACGTAAGGGCGTGTTCAAAACTATAAAGGGGAAACTGAAGTAACTTTCTCAGAACAACGACGACGGTGGTCGGAGGCGAGATCGGCAACGGCGAACCACTTAGACGGGAATGCAAGGGGGGAGCAGGATTTGAATTTGCCATATGGGGCCAGTTAGTTAGTCCGGCCGCCAGGCCGTTAAATTTTATTTATTTTAAGTACCAATTTCGGGTAATTTATGGTCCGGATGAGCTTAGATTAGACTGGTGCGCTCCCTGACATGTTTGACGAGCTCTCCTTACTTACCCGTTCTGTTGTCCTTCCAATGATGGAGACACGCTTGACATGAACGATGCAGTTGTTCCAGCTGTCATTGTGCAAGAGGTTGGGCTACCTGCAGACGAGATGCTTGATGTGACTGATGCAGTTGTTTCAGCCGTCATCGCACAAAAATTTGGCCTATGTGCAGATGAGCTAGAGGCCATCAACACAGGAACCAACAGTGGGAATGGGCATGAAACTCACAAATTTGCTATAGATCTCAACATACCCACTGCATCTGCAAACTCTGACCTGAGAAGCCTACAAGAAGGTTTGAGGAACACCAGTAAATGAAAGCTTGTGAGAGTGTGTGATTGTGGTGAGAGTATAGACAAAGTTGAGGCCGACGACAAAAGCAGAATAATTATCTGCAGACAAAAAGGCTGTGAGACATTGTGGGTAAGTCATTTCTTTTTATGTCATTTTCTGCCTTCTACTCACCACTAACTATGCAGTACCATCTTTTCTGTGTTGGACTGGATCATGGTATCAACAACTGGGTTTGTGACCCATCCAAGAGCATAGAAAAAAGCATAGGAAGGGGCGGCAAACAAAGGCATGCAGTGTAGATAAGGTGGCAGCTGACACAACACCCAAATGACACCCAAAACACGGTACCTATTTATAGACTTTACCTATATATGGTAATTTATTCTCACGCTGGTTAGTTAGTCCCGCCATAGTGGCCTTACAAAAAAAATCAGCATGATATATTAAATTAAAATTGTGTACCCCCCTTGCGGGAATGATGAAGAGTGGATGAGCAGTCTTGCGACGTAAGTTTTCTGGAATCGGATTTTCAGGCGACGTGACTCACTTACTGTCTAGACTCCCCTCCACAGCAAATCCTTCACCACAACTTCCATAGAAGGCTGAAAACTGGGCGTGCCGTGGGGCCGCCGTGTAATTCAAATCCGCGATGAGGTGCTGTTAGGGTCACTGAGAAAGGTCAGGAGGTAAGTACACATTGCCAACGAGCACCAGAAGGGCTTACCGCAAGCAACGTTAAAGTTGATGATGACTGCAGAGGGTAATTAACAAGAGGGGAAAAAATCAATGAACGAAGGCAAAACGAAGGAGTTTACCTACCGAACACGATGAGATAGTATGGGGAGGTAGTAAGGTAAGTGGGGAAGTGGATATTATCTAAAACGGGACTCACCGAACCCTTTCATACATTCAGCCAGCAAATACGTTGGAGTGTCGAGGCTCGACCAAGGCTCGACGTGGAGAAGAGCTGTTTGGTAAGAGCTTTAGAGTACACACTCATGCGCAATTCCAGCTTGATTCCAGCGCGCAGCATTCGCGTCCGAGGATTCTCCACAGTTTCACACTAGCCATCTCCAACGTGTGACCATGGTAGCCGAAGCCACTACGCGCCATCCACTAGCCTGGTGAGTGCTGGTAGGTTGTGGTCTGTGTCCTATCTGTGGTCGGGAACTCACCTCCACCTCTTTGAGATTCGGCTTGTGTGCTATCTTCTGTTTTACCCACTTCTCGCACGTGTCGTTATGACTCTAATTCGAGTACCGAGCGACTTGTATCTTTCTAGGCATGAGTGACTTCTTTCACGTGCGTTGGGTAGACTTGTTTAGCAGTGTTTGCGGCACATCGTTCTTTCATCCAAAGATTCCAAACCAACCGTTCTTTCCCGTGGTGCTAGTCTTGAAGCTTGAGCTTGAGCTTGTACCCCTCTACTTCGCACAAACTGCTTGAAGAATGGCAGCGATAACTCCAATCTTAGCCTCTACCGCTGCACCGCCATCCCTTTTTACTTGCTCTCCTAGGGTTCATTTGGAGATCATGGAGAAAGTTATTGATGTGCTCAACGCGGACCACGATGTTGACGCTATGAAGGCGTGTTCACAGACCTGTCGAACCCTCCTTCCTCGCTGTCGAACACATCTTTTTTCCAAGATAGATCTCGACCCTGCTTGCAGTCGAATACCCCCACTGGTAGATGACGACGACGACAGTGACTATTCCCAGACGACTTTTTCGGGATCCACGCGCAGAATAACATTATTCCTCGATCTGCTCGACCAGACACCTGAAATCGCATTCTACGTGCGGGACCTTGATCTATTCATCCGCCAAGAGGACGCCAACTGCTCCAGAACCATCCATGCACTAAACATGCTCTCCAACCTCAGCTCGTTCTCCCTGCGTCACGATAATGTAAAATACGGGCAGTTTGCATTAGACTGGGATGAGATGTCTCCCAATTTCATATCCGCTGTCTATCATGTCATCAGCTCGCCCAAATTAACCCAGCTCAAGTTAAGCTCGGTCGTCAACTTCCCTCTGTCCATCTTCTCCTTGTGCGGTGCCATTGAGGATCTCTCTTTTGGGGATATCATGTGGCCAGAGGTTGGATCTGCACCTCCCACGATGACTCCCATTCCCTTGAAGACGCTCACCTGCCATGATCACGGCATTGTTTTCGTAGGGGAAACGCTGATAGACGACAAGAATCCTATATTAGATCTAACTCGATTGCAACAGCTCATCGCGTCAGTCCGTGGAGAAAATGGAGACACATTCGTGAACGAGATACTACGCGCATCTGAAGCTCTTGTCAGAGTCGAGTTCTATGCGTACTCCGAGTGATGTGAGAAAAGGGTTGAGAGAGTGTTCATGGGAGAGCCCAAGTTGGAGACAAACAATCGTGTTTGGTCGCCCAAGCTCTCTCGCACGGATCCCGCAAGGGGAGGGCCGAGCTCAAGCCGGCACAGGCGAATAGTATGTAATACATGAGACGTGCAAACAAGAAAAGGAAGAAAATGGAAACCAGAAAAAGAAGAGGGTAAGTGGTAAGGGTGGGTGAAAAAAGAAGAAGCTCGCTAACGAGCTCTATGTGAGTGGTATGAAAAGATGAGGGCACGAAGAGAGTACCTAACGAGCTCTATGTGAGTGGTATGAAAAGATGAGGGCACGAGGCAGTGTGGACGAGCGAGCCATAATATATATGCAGACAGGACAAAGAGAACACGAGGGAGGAGGAAACGGGGCGAGGCGACAAAGCGCAAGTGATAAGAAAAGATCACGTGTCGCTGCATAGACCCCAGTCAAATGCATTTGACTGGCTCATCTATGCGTACTCCGAGTGATGTGAGAAAAGGGTTGAGAGAGTGTTCATGGGAGAGCCCAAGTTGGAGACAAACAATCGTGTTTGGTCGCCCAAGCTCTCTCGCACGGATCCCGCAAGGGGAGGGCCGAGCTCAAGCCAAAGCAGGGGTGAACGGGAGAGCCAGAGGTTCGAAAGGATCAGCACTGAGAGCGGCCAAATGGAGGCGTGCAGAGAGTCCGAGAATGCGGTCTTTTGGAACATCAATGTATAGCTTGTAGGCATCACTGCGCCAATGGCCTAGGAGCTGGATCTCATGATCAGCATATCCCACGGCAGCAGCAGCAGAAGCAGCTCCACGACGAAAGCTATGCCCCAAGTACAGAGAGGGGTCAAGACCTATAGTGGCCAAACGAGACTTCAAGGTGGAAATGAATGAAGATCGAGTGAGGGCAGAACCACCTTTGTTATCGAATAAAGGTGCATTTGGTGACTCCGGGAAGAGCTGGAAAAGCTTCTGTAAGGCTGAAACAGCGCATGTAGTGGACCCCAGTGGTGCCTTGGCGATGAGAATTGAAACACCCTTTCGAAAAGGATCGGTCTTGGATGCAGGGAGGTCAAAGCGGACATGTGTAGGGTTGTCGAGGGATGGTTCAAAGGTAATGCAGCCCCGGGTTAAATGAACAGCTGGATTGAACTTCTCACCTGTCCCTAGTGTGAATTCACCACAACGAAGGAAACCTGCCCAGGCGAGCTTCATAGCGGCATCGAAAACAGCATTGTTGCGGATGGAGCAGTCACCCGAAACAGCTGCAAGTTGCTGGAGAATTCCAAGCGTGATGGGGAGCTTGGGATTTCGAACCTTTTCTCCGTAAAAACGCTTGATTCCACGGATGACTCGGCGGACTGTCTCAGATTCACAAGCGTCGAATGGAAGACCTTCGTCGACATGGAGGGAACGAACGGCGGACAGATAGGATTTAATTGTCTTGGGCTGGAGCGCGCGAGCCCCAAGACTTGCAACCCACTCAACGATAACCCGAGGGGTTGCTGGCAGGAATTTCCCAGGCTCATCGAGCAATCCTGGGTGAAGTCGGGCAAAATCGATGAAGGAACGCTGACCTGTGGAGTAGGATTTGCGAGTGCTGGATGCGAGACCATGCCAAAGGAAGGTTGCAGCTTGTCGTGAGAAGTTAGCATGTGCTTCAAACCAGTGAGATGGGATTTCGGATAACAAGGTTTGCGTGGGAGGTGTGGGGCGAGCTGGAAGAGGCGGCTGTACTGGAAACGAGAAGCGGCATCAGCAAGCATATTCTCTTCAGTCGGAATCCAAATCGAGGAATAAGAAAAATTGAGGCAAGCAGCTAGCATGGACAAAAGGCGAATGAGGGCCATTGAATCAGGGGAACGCGCTGTCCCAGAATTGATCCAAACGACCACCGCCTGGTTATCACAGTAAAAATTTACGTGATGATTATTCCATGTATCTCCCCAGCAAAGTACTGCCTGAATGATCGCATACAGCTCCTTGAACTGAATGTCATGATCACGATAACGTCGTGGGGCACGTGAAGCGAACCACTGATTTGCATGAATGCCCCCAAGCCCTTTACGACCGCTCGCATCTGTGTGAACCACCACAACAGGTCGAGAAGGTGAGAGCAAGCGAACCCCATTCCACGTTGAGCTAAACACCAGCCACCATCTGATATCAGCTCGAGCGGAGGAGGGAATATGACGACGGGTGAAGGGAGAGTTGAATTTCGATGAAAAATCGAAAAGACGGCGAAGGAAAGAGCGTGAACATGGGATGACCTGAGATGTGAATTGCAAGAAGCCCAACAATTCTTGCAGTTCAAGAAGGGTACAAGTCCGCTTTTCCGACCAAGAATGGAGAAGATCTTGGAGGAAAATGAGCTTGTCAACAGGAAGACGAGCTTCCATTGTAGTTGAATCAAGCTCCAGCCCAAGAAACTCAAGACGGGTGCATGGCCACACTGTCTTTGAATCCTGGAATATCAAACCAAGCTCCTTTCCCAAATCCATAACCCACTCGACAGCAGCATTTGCCAAGGAGTGTTGTGTATCACTGGGGAAAATAAGGAGAAAATCGTCCAAATAGTGACGAAGAGCTGCTGGAATATGTCGCTGAATAATCCAATGTAGAGCCTCCGCAAAGAGGTTGAATATGTAAGGCGCATTCTTGAGGCCAAAGGCCAAGACAAGCAAATAAAAGAACTTAGAGCCCCAGTGAAAACCGAGGAGATGCCAATCGGCCGCCCTAACGGGAATATGGCGGAAAGCGTCCTTAAGATCAAGCTTTGCCATCAAAGAGCCTTGCCCCGAAGAAATCAGGTCATGGATAGCGCGCTCAAACATATCATACGAAATTTGAGCTTCGCTATTGGGAATGCCGTCATTGACTGAAGAGTTGTGGGGCCAGGAGAGGTGATTTATAACACGAAGTTTGTTGGGGTTCCGTTTGCGACCAACCGCGCCGAGGGGTGAGCAACGGAAGTTGGAGAGTGGGGGTGATGGGAAAGGGCCTGCCGCATGGCCAGATGAAGTGAGCACCTCAATGGATGAGCCTATAAAGGCATCATGTTCAACCGCCGACTTGAGGTTCTTGCATGATTGAGGATGTTGATCACCGATGAAACCCAAGTTGGCACCAAAGGATATAATTTGAAGTAACGTGGCTACAAACGTTCTATCGGGGTAATCATGTAGGTAGTGTTCCCAAGCGTTGATACGTAAAGGGGATGACACAGGAGGTGTAAGTGGGAGAAGCTCCGGCGTAGGCTTGTTACAACGTGGGTTTGTATTAGGACGAGGAGGGGGTGGGGCACGTGGAGGGAGGAGATTAGAGTGAGGGGGGGAGAATGTGATTGGTGACGAGGAAGCCGAAGACAAAGAAAAAGTACCAGATGAGAGCTGCTGGCCCAGGCGAGCAGCTAAAACCGATGGGGCGGCTGAGCCCGCCCTGCCAGCAACCTAGGTCTTCTTGCAATCCTTCTCCCCATGACCCGTAGCGCCGCACTTGCGACACTTATGAACGCGTCCCCCTGGACATGGACTGGCCGTGCACTCGCCCTTGTTGAAAGCGAAACACACTTGCTCAGCGCGAGCCTTCGATGTCGACGACGACGACCGATTGGCTCCTTCCCTCGCAATCTTGAAGTGGCCGAAGAGGTGGCGGTTCATGAGCTCAGCATCTGTCCGAGCCCACCCTGAGTAATCGCCGTCTCGCATCTCGGGGCGCCGAAGGTAGTGGAAGTCGAAGTGGTACTGGAGGACTGCTCCCCACTGGTACTGTTGGTGAAGCGCCAGGATGTGGGCCGTGTAAATGGCGGCGCCATCGGCAATAACACGAGTGGCCTCGAGATCGCCAGCTGACGCGGCAAAGTTCTCCAAAACCCGAAAATAGGTGAGCAGGGGTGTGAGGAGGGAGCTAAGGGAGGGGTATTCCTTTGGTAAACCCGCACGACTCTTACTATCCTCTCCCTTATCCGGATCTCCCTTCTCCCGAAAGTGCGAATCGAGTTTGAAGAGATCCTTGGGTTTGAACTCGTGACGCGCGATGTCCAGCAGCATGCTTGCCTCGATAGTGGGGAAGCGATGGTAAAGCGATGACTTACCAGGTGAAGCTTGAGCGTGGACGGAAGTGAATGGAGGGAGTGGCGCGAAAATGCTTTGAGGGGCAACGGCAGTTGGGATTTGAGGGCTGTTGCTTCGTGCCAAAATCATTTGAGACATCATCATTTGCAGCTCGTGATATTGGCGCATGAAATCGTCCGGTATCTGCGTGGGTATCTGCGTGGGTGGTTGGGTGGTTGGTACTGAGCCGCTGGCTGGAGGGGATGGATCGTCGGATGCATTGGTCATGTCAGGGACGTCAGAGGGAGGAGCGAGTGGCGACGATTCAGCTGGAAGTGATAACGGAGAGACTGCTGGCGGAAGCGATAATGGAGAGGCCGTGGGCAAGGAGTTGTGGGATGCCCTGACAATGGCACGCTGGGCAGTGGCAGAAGGAGGGCTATTAGCGGATATGAAGCGACCCCCGGGACCGCGACGCAGCTGGGTTGGTGGATTCGACGACAAAGTCGAAGGAATGGTGCCTGATGAAAAAAGAAGAAGCTCGCTAACGAGCTCTATGTGAGTGGTATGAAAAGATGAGGGCACGAGGCAGTGTGGACGAGCGAGCCATAGTATATATGCAGACAGGACAAAGAGAACACGAGGGAGGAGGAAACGGGGCGAGGCGACAAAGCGCAAGTGATAAGAAAAGATCACGTGTCGCTGCATAGACCCCAGTCAAATGCATTTGACTGGCTCATGTCCGGTACGCCCTCTCATTTTTCTCAGGTGCATCCTTTTCACATTACTCAGGACCGAGTTCCATTCATTCCGGAGTCGCTAAATCTATAGCATACCGATCTCTCAACACCATTGAATCATTCGAACTTTCCATGGTCATCCCCTTCGACGAGCTCAACGCCATCCCTGAAATATTCACGGAACTCGAGGCCCTCTCAGACGCGCCTAACCTACGAGAAATTTCCATCTCTCTCAACCTCCAGCCTCAGCATCGCTTCCCCCCAGGGGTTTTATTTGCGCTCGATAAGCTACTTACTGGACCCGGGTTCCGACAACTTGACAGAGTTGAATTTCATGTCAGCACCTACGGGCCAGAGGGCCACCAGTTTCGAGAAGCGATGGAGAAGATTTTTGAGGAAGAATTTCTAGGTCTTTCTCAAAGTCCGCTCCGGAATTTTAGGAATTCCGTGACCATCCAAGGATCCGGATTGGGGTTGGCAGGCGGTGATTTCGACGGCGACAATGTTTTTGTTTATATGTATGACGATTTAGAATAGAACTCTATGCACACGCTTGACAAGTACGATCTCCCTCCAATACCAGTGAATATTTCCATAATCATCATCCGATCTTCTCTCTTGTCGGATGGACTCCGAAAACAGGGTGTGGGGAGGTCCGTCGGCCTCAAGGCCAACGCCAAGGTCCAGCCAATATGATGTCGGCTTAGCTTAGCTAAATTCGGCTTCAAGATCGTTCGATTTTAGCGGTGAAGCCCACGCTAAGCAAAGGAGACCCGAACAAGCCTGTACTTTATATAGCCTCAACGACAACATCCGCCTTGCGCAGAATCGACCATAGCTACACGTCCAGCTTCGAAGATCACTCGTGAATGACGAGTTCAATCGATTTCTAGGTGTTACTAGCTTGTAGAAACAATATCGGCGACCGGCCAGTGAGTGTCGAGGACGGACTAAGGCAACGTCAAACGACGACGACGACGACGAGTGCTATACGGTCGAGTAAGTTCTTTGTCGCGTTTCAGATTGTGGATTATTCACTTACTTGTTGTAGCTCCACGCCCACAACCTCAACAACTTGTCCATCTCTCACATTACCGACTTCCGCGCGTCAGACGTCGGGTATGTGGGTGGTTTTTAGAGGCGCATGCGTGATAACGTGGAGGGCAGGTTGGGCGTTAAACAAGTTGGGTAAGTCGTTACTCTCGTCGACGGCATGACATGTTCATTATGGATAGGTGGAGGAAACGTCGAACAACGACGGGAGGTGCTTCTGACAACGGGTAAGCTTTCCATCGTGTTTCTACCGCAGGTTGGGCACTAATCACATTTGGTGAGTCGTCTCTTGCGTGAACGGGAGACAGATCTACTCACTTGTGTTACGGAGGTCTTGTCCGCCGTCCTCGATCCCTCCATTCAATTTGGTCTGCGGAAAGGTCCGCGATGAGTCTGGAAGCGGGGTAAGTTTTTTTTGTTCCGAGCGGGACGGAGGGGCTGACGTAAGTACCTTCCTCAGAATAACGATGACGGTGCTGCAGACAATTGCTATAGAATGGCGCCATGTTGATGGAAATGCCCAGAGGCGAAGGAGCTCGCTTTGTGGACGTGAGTATTTTGGACTGGATTCAATGCGACGTTGACTTACGTTTTTTAACTAGAAAGAAGCTTTTGAATCCGACTAAAACGTCCCTCCGCGTTGACTCCGCGCCAATTCCTTCACCCTCAAAACATTCATAAGATCGGGCGTGCGGTAGCTATTTAATACAAGTCTGCGATGGTGACGAAGGTGTTAGGGTCGTCTGACCAATTGACTCGGTGGACAGCTTCGTCACATGACCACCTTTGCTTCGTCGACTTCTGTGCTCATTATCGTACCACCTCAGCTTTTCAGGCTTACAAGATGCTTATTGAACAAATCAACGTCCACTTTTTGGAGAAAGTGGCTCTAGGCGTCTGCGCTTTACTCGTTGCCTGAAGTCTGAAAATGCCCAGGCCCAGCATATCCGTGCAGCGCCGACGACGGATCATTATTTTTCATGCAGCTTGATTCTTTCGCGGGTTATCCCGGAAAAACTGGAGGCATTCGATTGGCCGAGGCCCACTTTATTTTCCATAAGAACCAGATATATCTCACCAGAAAACATATCGAAAGTCTCCTTCCATCAATGCAACACATATCCGCCTCCTCTCTACAGGACCTGCCTACGCGAGTTCAATACCTGCGGGATTTCATCGAATTTTCCTCAGATGATGCCGCTGCGTTACATTCTTCGCGCGGCGTGGTCACCCCGCTAGTCCCAGCCGTTCTTGAGGCAGTTTACGAAAAGCTCCTCTCGTTCGACATCACCGCCAAATCATTCGTACCTCGCCAAACAGGTTACTCTGGCGTCGCGCCAGTCAATGTCGAAGAACTCACACAGGATCATCCACAAATCAAATTCCGTAAAGATTTCCTTGGACAATATCTGGTCAAACTCGTGTCGATGGATTACGAAAAGAGGCAAAGCTGGGAGTATCTGGATAAGGTAGGATTAATGCACACAGGGAAGGCTGGGTTCTCGCATCGGTGAGATATCTTTTTTTTGACGTCCTCATATCTTTTCTCTGACTCGTGTCTATCAAGTTTGAGTAAGCCTGCCCTGAGAGTCGAATATATTCACTGCGCTATTCTCCTTGGTTACGTCGAGGAAATCCTCCTCAACGCCGTCATGACCCATCCTGACCTTGACGACGACACCAAGAACGCCGTAGCAAGAGCTGTTAATAAGGTTATATTTATTCCATGTCGTCGCCGTTCCACTATGCTGACATGTGTCTGTAGATCCTTTGGATACAAAACGATCTCTTTGCTCGTCACTATATTGCCGATCAGGAGTCTGCATCCAGCGACTCCTTTACCATTAGCAAGCCACTGGCTATCCTCTCCGTGGTGGGGATTGCCGGCCTCGGCGCACTGATACAGTATATATCACGTCGCACATGATTTTACTTCCAAATACCACCAGTAATAGAGGGCCGGTGGTCTTTCAGGGGTTCATGTACGTAGGCATTAGGGGCATTAGATCAATATGTATGTAGATTTAGATTCGACAAAATGGAGGGCCGCGCTCCTTCCAAAGTTCAAAAGTTTCGATATTGAATCTCATATGGAGTGCCATACGCACTCAACGGATACATTCTTTCAGCCGTAAGTCAACTCTGGGCTGGTCTGAATAGGTATATCAAGTGTCTTGCGTAGGTAATCCTCTCTCTTAGACTCACGACTTGAAGATCACAATTGGCGGCTCGGAAACTTACTTGAGTAACAAATTTGATAGCAAAAGTTGAGCCCCTTCCCCTCCTATGTATCGTACAAGTTTATCGCAACAAATCACAGAACGTACAGTCCAATTTCATCGAGTCTTTCTTCAATCAACCAAAGGAGTGATGACCCAGAGCTGATTCGGCGGGTAAAACGGTGGCTCTCTCGGACCTACGATGAGTGGGCGGAAGGCAACCTATTTTTTCACGCACGGTCTAAGCACTCACAAGATGCGAAAGAAAGGCTCGTAGTCACCGACCTGAGTATATGGTTCTTCCGTGGGTAAAACCCAACCTCCATGCTTGTTCACGGACTCAATGCTGAGAAAATTAAATTAAATGACTCGGATTAAAAACCAATAGGACTCTCACAGGTAAACATTTCGTCCCTCATTTGGAATCTCAGTGAGTCTCCACTTCACGTCAACCTTGTATTCTTCGGCCACCGAAACAAAAACGAGGTTATCTTTGGCGAACGCGGGGGCTCCCTTGTCTTTGAGGACGTAAAAATCACCCTCCTTTGTGATATACCACTACGGCAAACAAAAAACGCTTGAAATATGAAATATGAAGGAGATTGAAGACTTACCAGATTGGCCTCCACTCCGGGTGGAACTGCGATGACGCTCTTGGGATTTAGACTTGTATCTTCATTGAGTGCGCGCTGGACATAAGCCCCAAATCCTTTATTGCGAATGTAATGGTCGCCTTCGCTGATCGGCATTTCGAGGATGGTCTGGGATACGTGAAGACCATCTGAGTGATGGGCTTTTATAAGTAGTCGGACCGTGGATCTGAGTTATATTTGGAGAGGTACTTCGCCTTGTGAGAAGATATGAGGTTATTCGTGCAAGCTGTCTGTCAACTGTCTGCAAATGCCTCACAAAACCCGACAGGTACGAAATCGAAGTACTTCGATGGCTGAACATCTTCGTCCTTGAGGCTTGAGAAACCAGAAAGCTCCGACATTCTAGAAGGGCATGGGAGCCATTCACGAATCACTTGACACAGTTTATATGCACAATGGAAGTTGGTTCGCTACCTTTCGAGTATAAAGCGCAGGTAGAAGCCTCGGCAAACGCAGTGCGATACTTTGCAAGAGGTGGCTGAACATGGATGCCGAGTACAGGGTGAGGGAGGCCTGAGTCTCCCATCCTTGCCGAGGGGAACACGCGCAAATGATATACTACAGCTGCTGGTGGACCGTGTAAAGCGACAGCGCACTGGTCAATATCCCGTGCAGCCATTGACTTGTTCTTGTATGGGAATTTTTTTTTTTTGACTAACTTGATACGTGCTCTGTTCATGAGGAAAATGAGGTGACGCACGTCGGGGTGTCGGACCTAAAAATATGAGGGCAATGTCAAAGCAACGGGGGCTCACCGATAATTTCATCAGAAAAACGACACCAGAAATGCCAGAATGTGGAAACGGGTCATTCGGAGGAGAAAGATACGCCGGCGTAAAGATGGACGAGAACACTGTCCAGACTCCAGGATAATACACTTTAAAATACGCCTATGACTTATAATTCGACGATACAACACGCCTAGGCTGAAAATGTCAGCCTCCGTGCAGCTTACAGCGAACGTCAAAAGATCACCTCCAGCAATTCCGAATACCTCGAATTCAAAAGCTTTGGAGGGTCACCGACGTATCCACAGTTCGAACCCCACTCCGAGGAAGGGAAATAAATTCTTCTAGGATTACCTGCTCCATAGCTTCTTTAAACTCGTGAGCGTCTCCCAACTCTAGCGAGGCGCTCCCATTGACATGAAATCCTACGCTTTGGAACCGGCGAAAGCCCGGTCCAGTGAGCAAATTATCGAGCGCAAGTAGAACGCCAGCTCGGAATCGATAAAGAATGTCCAAACTGAGACGAATAACGACGTGGTGCAGGTTGGGCGCAGCTGCGAGAACTTTGAGCTCAGTGCATATTTCGGGGATGATGTTGTGGATCAGGGAGCTGGTGAAAATGCTGAGTTGGAATGTTTGGAGGGTGTTGAGTGAGGAGGCTATGGATTGACCGACGCCCCGGTAGGTGTGGGAGGTCGTACCTGCGTGAATCATTTTAACGGTGTACTTTTTTACAAAAGGGGAGGAGAACGTACCAAGCAAGTGAACTTCTGTAAGAACTTCAGAGGAAGATAGTATCTCTCTCATGCAAATGTTACCTCCTGCTTCATGTAGAGATGCGATGAAGCGATGAACAAGAGTTAGATCCATTATGGGATACTCGGATTTTATAAGCAGTATTTGCCCTACGAGAATCACGCCAGCTTCGTCACAGGAGAGCGCACGCAACCGAAGGGGAGTCATAACCGGGAATGTAGAGCCATTTGTTGATAATTCGACGCTTTTCAAGGAGAGCTCTTCGAGGCCGCCACCGCACCAGGAGAAAGTGGACAGTGGGAAGTTGGTGAAGGATGCGAATTCGAGCTGGGTCAACTTGGGCGAGCTAATAATGTGATGAATGCAGGTAATGAAATTGGGGCAGAGGTCACCCCAATTCAATGTATTGAAATCTCCCAGACCCGAGAAATCGTGACGGAGGGAAAATGCGGTGAGGTTGGAGAGCATGTTTAGTGCACGGATGGTTCTAGGGCGGTCTGAATCCTCTAAGTAGATGTATAAATCTAAATCCTGCACGTAGAATGTGATATCGGGCGTCTGATCAAGGAGATCGAGGAATAATCTCATCCTGCGAGGAGGAGCATCGTCACTGTCGTGGTTTGGGGATATATGTCTGCTATTGAGTCTGAGATCGAGATCGATCCTGGAAAAAATGTGTTTCCGACAGCGGGGAAGAAGACTTTACAGGTTTGGGAACATGCCTTTATGGCATCGATTTCGTCATCTACGTTGAGGACGTCGATCACAAATTCCACTATTTCCAAAGGAATTCTTGGAGAATTGACGGTCATCGCGACGTTGAGAGGCACCACATTCATTGAGAGCTTGGTAGTTCGGCTACAAGGGTGCTCGGCACAAGCTCAAGTTCCAGAGTTCTAAGCATACGTACCTGAAGTTCCGATCCAGAAAAAAGTTGAGAGGATAGATAAGGTCGGGTATTTCTTCAATTCTTGAACAAGGCAATGGGAATCGTAGATGATGAATTTAAGTAGCTTCAATGGCGCTCAGGGGTGCTAGGATGACGTGGAGGCCCATGAAATTTGAATGCGATATGTTTGGCTCATTTATCAAGTTCGGTATCGGTGCGCAGTAGGAGACTGGCTGGAGCAGGTTTGGGAAGGCACAAGGCGCAGGACCTGGCGCCGCGAGCACAAATGCCTACAAGAAACAAGTGAGATAATCAGAGACGCCCCGCCAGTATACGGAATGAGAAAAAGAGAAATGATTACGTAGGCCTCAGGCAAACAACGGCCAACATTGAATACAAATACAAACATACACAATTCATCAGTCCAATTCAGTCGTAATCAGGTCGTAATGATCGTTCTCCTCCTCTCTCTCGGGGTTATCATTGTCATCACTCTGGTTGTTGGCAACCCATTCAACCGCTTCCTTAACCGCTGTACTCAAATTGAAAACATCCTCAAAATCGCCCTTAGTTTCCACATCTGACTTCTTCAAGTTCTTGATCTGCGTGCTTGCTGCGTGCCCTTTTTGTGCTTCCTGTTCTCGTTGTAAAACACTGCGTAGAAGGTCAATGGACTGTCATAAATGATTGGAATGTGGCTTGCATTTGAGCTTGTTCAGGACCCTTCTATTATACACGATGAAGTTTTTTCTGGCGTTCTCGTAGTCCCCATCTTCAACGTAAGCCTTGATGTCAGTTGCAATCTTTCCTTTTTTACGCTCCTCTTCAGTGTCGTCTGCTTGAAAATGAATACCGGCGGCTTTTAAGGCCTCATCTATCGTCATATCGTCCGGTTCACGGCCTGGATACATCAGCATCGTGAAGGCCTTGTAAAACTGGATTCCCGAAGATGCCCTATCGGGGCGCTGGTGTTCGTGATGAAAACCTAAAGCATGACCGAATTCGTGAAGGAAGGTTCTCTTGGTACAGCCGTAACCCCCAAAAAACATCTTCGTTGCTTTGCCGGACTCTAGTTTGCATACATTGCTTGACGCACTGCCAGTCATCTTTTGGCCAGGTGATTAGGATGTTTGAGACACGGCGGTCTTTCGTTTCGCTGAATTCTAAATAAGCGTATTTCATCCATTCGTCCCTCGCAGAATCGAAATCTTCTTGATATTCCTCTAGCAGCGCGGTAACAAAATAGTACTTCAACACAGGCTAAGAAATAGAATTCAGCGACGTGACACGGCTCTTAATGCAAAACGAATTACCGGGGATGTGAGAACCTTGGACTTACTAGTACCACTCAGTTTCACCGCAACAGGCCATACATTCTGGGTAATAATGTGGAAAGGGTTCGACATGACGGGTTTTGTAAACTCGAAGGTAAACTGGAATCAGGAGAGGTAGTAAGTAGGCAGGGCACCGTTAGTAAGACCTTGACAGAATTAAAAGAACCTCGTGTGTCAATTGTCTTTCCTGCATGGGATGAGTTCGTTTAACCGGGATTATCATTCTTCATCCGGAATGCGAGGCTAGATCTCGTGGCAATAAAGTTTTTAATCCTTTATTTCCTCAAATAATGTTCATCTGGTCGAATCAATTGAGTAAATTGTGTTCGTAGCATACATTACCGATGCCCGCAACCACTGTTGGAATATTTTTTAATAAATCAGGCTCCAGTCCCACACTTGCCTTGTATCACAATAAATCTGGCATCGCAGTGGTGGATCGCCCCATCATTGGAATATAGAAAATATAGTATACATACTTCCCAAGTATCCTAGTGGTTGAATACATTAGAAATCTGCATATCTGTAGTCCGTTTCTAGGTTTATGTATAACGAGAGAATAACGCGAGGGTATTTGAGGTTCGTATGTACATAGTTGTATTGATGCTGATACGAAACTTCAAACGTCCAAAGTATATCAATCTAAAGTAGCCGCAAATTCGTCACATAAACCCGGTAAGAAAAATCTAGACAAGCGACACGCCAAGTACTCACCAACTTCGGACCAGAAGCGCATACGCGCTTCGCGTAATTATTTAACAGGGAACGGCACTGGCGGGGCAGAAAGCGTCGTTGACGTTATAGATCAACGTGCCGTCAGCCTAGTCAAGGTCATCAGTAAACAATGCGATGGTACGAGTGCGGCGAATCGTTCTGTACCACTTTGTAATCGCAATAATAAGTCATGCCGTCCTTCAAGAATTGGCAGTGGAGTGGGTCGCTTCCGGCCTGTTGTTGGAACTTGAACAGTCCTTGATTGGGGGGGCATTTCCAGCAGGCTTGAGCTGCCGCTTGGGCTTTAGGCGCCGCTTGGCCTTGAGGCACCGCTTGGGCGGATACGAGCAGGGCGCTTGTGAGGACGGCGAGGATTGCGGTGAAGGAACGCATTTTCGAGGTAAAGTTATGGAAGTAGTGGTTTTTTCTTTGAGGGAGGATTGAAGGGTTTGTTTGATGATTTTGGACTGGAGAGATGAGGCGCTTTTAAATAAAATCCTTCATGCAAGCAAACTTGAGACGGAATTTTCGGCATGGCCATCGTACACTACAGGGTCAAACCCGCAGCCATCCATTGTAAAACGCGAAATTCACCCAGGTCAATGCTTGATGCTTCTCCCCACACGAATTACTGCGCGTCAAGAATTTTGACTGTTGCCAACGTGAACTGCGATATGCCGCAAGTCTCAAATTTTCTTCGAAAAGGAAAGAGACGGTTGGCGGCTTACCTGGATTGGGTGGTGAAATTGCAGTAGGGGATAAGAACGTTGAGGTCTGTAAGACGCAGTGTCAATAAATTTCAGAATTCGTAATATTAACTGATCAAGCCTCAGGTCATGTCTCCTAAGTTTCGATCGATTCTGCATTTTTCAATGGGTGATCTGGCGGATCCGAAGAAGAGTGAACTGCGCAGCTGCTCCACACTCCGCGTGTTTTTTGGTCCCGGTGTTCGGTGGGTGCGAACCTGAGCGGTTGCACGCAGCAAAGGTCCTAATTTTTGAAGGAGACAAAGTTGAATTGCGGCATCCAACAATAAATTTATGGTTCATTAAATAAAAGCTTACCTATTTCCCGTGAAAGAGCTCTTAAGTTGTCCATGCCGTGTTCAAGGACTCGTTTCAAAACCCGGAGGTGTTGTCTTCAAATTCGGGGGCTCCTTTTCAGAATCGGAGGTTCGAATCATCTGCCGGTATGATGTGGCCGTCTCGTTTTAAAAATAAGCCTCGTAACGACAGATTTTTGTTTCTTTCCTGTGCGTCGGGTGCGGAAACTGTCCGGCGATTCATCATCGTCTGGAATCTGGATATTCAACTTATTGAGAATTCTTGTCAGTAATGAGTGGGTTGGACCGGGAAATTTTACCCGTTGTTGGTTCACGGCGATGCTGCGCAGCACGGCTGGAGACGGCGGTCTTTGTGGAAGAAATGGAAAGACAATTCCTAAAGCAAAGAAACTGAAGCAGTCCACGTGTGCGCTTCTTCGTGAAACGTAAACTGCTCGCTTGAGGTTCATGGAGGTGGGACCCCAACATCGACTAGATCGTGAGGTACCAATAGCCACCCCCTAATCCCGATAATCATGGTCAGCCATTCAATGACGTCACCTAGGTCCATGTGATGGATAAGCAGATCCCCATTTCTTGAAATTTGAATGGAACGACAGCGGCCTGGCGACGAGAGCGAGTGGTAGACCCTGAAAAGAGCGCCACGTCTGTCCGCGGGTTACTTTGGTTGGGAAATGTAATCGACGTGGTCAGCGCAAAGTCCGAGATCGACGCTATCAAGGTGTGTCCACAGACCTGTGAACCTTCTTCCTCGCTGTCAAACGCACATTTTCTCCAGGATCAATCCCCGGACTCCATAGTTGCAATGACAACGGCCAGACACATCGTCTCGACCTCGCTCGCAAGATGCTATTTCTTCATCTCCTCGAACAAACACCGAAATCTCGTTTTGCTTGCGGGATCTCAACCTCTGTTGAAAAACTCGTCATCAAATATTCAGCCCAGGCCACCGGCCTCCCTATTTCTCCAACCCTCCGCAACGACTGGTCATCTTTTTCTCCTCTCTCGTAGAGCATTGATGTACCTTCTTGAGACATACAACGGCATTCAGAAGGGTCTCTGTCCGCCAGAACGTTGAGAGCAGGGAGTTGCCCCGAGACGATGAAAGATGGAGTAACGGCGAGAGCGAGGACTCTCTCCGAAGCGTGAAGAGTTTCTCCTCTTCGAAGCGTGGAGAGTTTCTCCAGAGCGGCAACCCACAAGGGCGAGAGAGGGGAATCTTGTCAGGACAACGACGGCCTCCCCGCCGTCCATGGGCACCACGGAGTCTTGTCACCACGTTGAGAGCAGCTCAAACATCAAGAGCGAGGGGTTTCTGCAGAAGGTTTATAACGGAGAGTCTCGCCGACACATCGAGAAGAGGGAGCATTGTCACAAGATAGAGAGCTGGGTGCCCCGCCAGAGCAATGAAAGGACGAGAGGGGAAAAAGTCTTGCTGTGACGATAACATTGAAGATTCGGTAATCTGGCCAAAACTTCAAGAACTGAAAGTCTCTCCAGATGGTCATTGATACAGAATGGGAGAACGTCCGGGGAGTATCATCACGTCGTCATCATGTCAACAAGAGTCCTAGCAAATTTCTGCGATGAGTATTATGCCCACTTTGGTATTTTCGTGTGTGATAGTACAACGGTGATAGGAAGGATAGGGAGTAGAATTTAAGTTGAAAAAGTCTGGAAATAATGATAGGAGAAGATGGGGGGTAGTTTTGCAAGACGACGGACGACGAGGGCAGCTGAGGTATATCAAATCTGTATAGAAAACGACCGGTCTGACTCCTGAAACGGTATTAGCAGCGACTAATCCAAGAGCATTCGATATACCATTGGAAAAGTTTAATACAACGGATCCACCTTAATCCCAATGTTCCCATCACCCATGCCCATCCCAAAGTCGATCCAAATCTCCCTCCTCAAGTAAAAGGCATACCACACGATGAAGATACAGAAAGCAACGAGTGAAGCGCATGCATATGGTGAAGGCGGAGGCGGATTGAATCGCGGGTCGGCCTCGAATGCCATCATGATGCGGAGTTGGCGGGTGTGTGCCAAGTATGAGTGATGCGGAGCATGGTGTTCAGGGTCTTCGTCAGCGTCGAAGGATATTGAACATGTGCGGAACGGCCTAGAGATGGAAGGGTTGGAGGTGGGGACGAGCTCGTAGCCTGCAGGCCGCAGCGGTGGCCATGATGAGCTTGACGTCGTGATGGTTGAGAGGAAAGTGCGTTGCCATTGTTTGGCGACGATGTCGAGCCTCTTGTCACAATACCACGACTATCATCTAGCTAGCGCTCTTTCTCCCCGCAATCATTGCAGACATTCCGGTTGAAGATTTGACAACGACAACGAAGGCGTGCCGCCCACAACATCATCATCGAAGGACAGGGGTACAATACCGACTTCACATAGGTGCCAAGTTTTCTTCCAGAGATACGTAGCCACGGCTGATACTTGCTCACAGGCCCAAAATTCCAACCACAGATGGGGGGAAATGGTGACATACCTTCCGATAAAGCGCTGTTTCTTGTGGTTTCCGTCATACCAGAGAAAGAGCAAATCGACGTTGAGAGGACCCCTGGTCTTGTTTGGCCAGTGATATTGACCTCTCTCCGCATCCTAGAGTGTTTCCCTGCCATCCCCGCCGTGGAAGCATCATCGGCTACTCAAATTGCTTTTCATGAAATAGGTAGCCAGAGCTTAGGATCCCCGAATTCGATCTGCTAGTAACATGCCAAAAGTCGCCGTTATGACAGACCCAATCATAAAACCCACAATCGCTATTATGAATCTGAAATGGGGAATTGGCCCCGCGGCAGAGCTGTCTGAATGGCGAAATGTCGCGGGGTGCCTATGATCACAAAAGGTGAGCAGCCGATCAGATTGAGTTGACCGAGAGATAGGATGATTGCCGAGAGATAGGATGATTGCCATGAAAATGATAGTAGCCCCAAGCGGTTGAGAGATGGCCTTCGTTTCTACTCCAACATTGAATGATTGCATGAGCGCTACCCCCACTGGTTCATTTCCCATTAGTTCTCATCGAGATGAGGTAGGTATAACAGGGCGTACCAACACCGGAGGACGCCATCCCTAAACTCGTTCTGACATAGGCGAGAAAAGTGCGCTCACCGGCTGGTCTCTTGCGACGCTTCCGCGATTGGCCAAGGAGAAGTTGATCCTCGAGGCAATTGGGTCACGGAACATCGGCCCTGTTTGGAAGGACAATCGATAATCAAATCCAAATCGAATCGTTGATCCAACACAAATGCTTGGCGTTTCTCCCATCATGATCGGGCGCTTCACTTCTTCCATTCCCACCACGACCACGACCTAAAAACACAAGCATCTTTACACCAGATGTCCAATGCTTGACCGCGCAGGAGGTGTCATCGTGTCAGGCGCCAGCGCCCTCACTGAAGTCCATGGAAATTATACATCGGGTGAGTTTTGACATGTAAGTAGTAATCTGCAACGCTAGCGCTCAAACCGGATTTCTACTATGAACGAAACTCAGTTACGCATATCAATGGCCCAAGTGTATTGACAGGCGGACACGGTAACTCTCTTCCCTTTTCTGACAGAAAATGACTTCACTAATAGGTTTCAGGCCTCCAATTTCTTCAAACAAACATCGCAGCCAGCGCAATGCACAATTCCAAAGGACGCTACGCCGACGCTCCGAGATGCCACAAGGATACACGAAAAGCCGTTCTCAAAGACATAACAAATTGGGTCTTAGACGATTCCAAAGATACTCTGATCCTTTGGCTCAGCGCCCCAGCTGGCTTCGGCAAGTCAGCCATTTTGCAGACTATAGCCGAAACTTTCCATGATTCCAAGGGGCTCGCTGCTAGTTTTTTTTTTGCACGTACCGCTCCTCAGAGAGACACTGAGACTCACCTGATTGCGACTATTGCTGCGCAGCTGGCAAAATCAGTTCCAGTGACTAAGCCTTTCATCGAGCAAGTCGTGCTGGATGACCTATCAATATTTGAAAAGGCGTTGCCCGTTCAGATGGAACTTCTTGTGGTCCAACCTCTGATCCAGGCTTCGTTTCAGGCGGAATGGAACTACCCATGGCCTTCATTGCTTATTATTGACGGTCTTGATGAATGCAACGACGGGAAAGTTCAGGCCGATATCTTACACATGTTCAACGACGCTCTTTTGAAAATCAAGTATTCATTACCTAGACTATACCTCCTCATCGCCAGTCGAGAGGAGCCCGCCGTCTCCGATGTATTTGAGGACAGGCTTTCCACCATCACCCACCATATTGTTCTCGACGGTTCTTACGATCCTGATCACGACATAGCAACATTTCTTCGGAGCAGCTTTTCAGATATATATCACCGCCGGCGCATTCGCTTTCCTT